GGGGGGGGGGGGGGGGGGGGCAAGTGCCCCCCTTGCCCCTACCTGCGGGCGCCCATGGTGGGCTGTACAATTTTGCACACCAAAAATTGATGCTGTAAAACTTTGCACACAACTGTATGATTTTGCGCACGAACAACAAACCTTAGAGGGAACATTGGTCCCCACCCATTCATCTACTTTCGATATCTAAAAAAAAACAACAAAAAAGTATTTAAAACAAGTGTTGAGGAAATTAACTCCGTCGAGTATGTCTATAACTATTTTTAACCAACTTTTAAGAAAATTAAAATAATAACTGTTTTACTATCTTAATTTAATTTTTTAAATTAAATTATTATAAATCTTTATTTTTCATGCCGCATCTCTAATTATTTTATCTTCCAAGTGAGCATTTTCAGCATCATTTTTGTTTAGAATTTTTACAGATTTCAAAACGAGAAATAACGAGAACTCCACGCGTAAACTAATATGGCCGCTATCAGGCAATCATAACAATCTAACCGCTGACAAATTTTACCCCCGTAAATGATGTTAACCTGTTGAACATAAAACACTGAAATATTTTTAACAGTTTTTCTGACTTTTTCAAAATGGGGCTTTGTAAATGTCCTAAACGAAAAGTTACAAATCTTTTCTGCTTTGAACATCGGGTTAATGTATGTGAACACTGCCTTGTTGCCAACCACGCAAAGGTAAAAACTAGCGGTCAATTCCTTCCATGCTTAGATGCTAATACTAGTAATTAGCTATCATATATTTATTTTATCATCATATACAATTAATAATGTTATGGAAAAACCGAGAGCATTGAATGTGAAATGCTTATATAAACAATAAGCCTTCACCAGGAAAGAAAAAATTTGCAATTGCATGAGTATGTTGAATGTTGATAATCTGAATCAGTAATTTTTTCAGATTTTGACTAATTCATTTTTGATATATGATGTCCTGTAGATGGTTCACTAAAGTCTTAAAGTTCAGATTGTTTGATATAGTCACCACAATTTGCCTGTAGGTTTGCTCAAAATTCACTCAAATCCAGTTCTAAGAAACAACCCAAGCCCAAAGACTTTTTACTTGTCACTAAGGCCAAGAATGTTACAATCATTGCCCAAATTTAATTACTTTTCTATTTTCTAAGTAACCATCTTGCCATTTATGTTTCAGTGCATTGTCAAATCATATCTTCAGTGGTTACAAGACAGTGACTATAGTCCATTATGTACACTCTGTAATCACAACCTTTCAGATGAAGAGTATGGAGAATGTGTCAGGCTGACATGTTATGGTGAGAATCTCCTATCTTTTGAATATTTATTCTAGAGTCTAGAGTGAACCTTGATTGAAAAAAAGTGTTTTTTATGCTACAACCACACGAAGCAATTTATTATTTTATCGTAAAAGTTAACTTTTTATTGATAGGCCTGCTCAAGTTGTCATTTTAATTTGTCATGCCAACATAAATTGATTTTTTAATGAAATTTTAAACAGTTTTTTTAATAAAATGTAAATTCCTCTAGATATGAAAAGTTGGCTTAATAACTGAATATAATATGTTTTTTCAGCCTTTCGCTTTCAATAACAATTTTTCAGTTCAATTAACAGGAAACTTTTTCTCTCTTCCCCCAACCCTCCTTTAAGATGTTTTCCATTGGGGCTGTTTAAATCAGTTTGCACAACGGCTTCCAGCACAGACTGCCCCGGCAGGATACACCTGCCCGACATGTAGTGCTTGTATATTTCCTCAGTCCAATTTGGTGTCTCCTGTGGCTGATGCAGTTAGAATATTACTGCAGCAAGTCAACTGGGCCAGGGCAGGGTTGGGACTTCCTTTGGTAAGTTGGTTAGTTTATTCTTTGCCATTACATGTTTTCATTTTTTTTAAATACATCATTATCAACTATAGTGCTACAAGGGCTCTGGCCTACTTCACCTCATCACTCATTCAAACGATTTCATGGCTTTTTGTCTCCAAGCAAAGATCCCCAGCTGATGTAAATGATAAAATACATCTGTTTGTTAATTTTATCATGTTTTTTTTTTTTAAATTGTCTCAATACTAGTATATGAAATCTGCTATCGTTTAAGTTATACACAGCAGACTTGTTTACTCTTACGAATTTCGAGCATTGTACAATTTTGAGATGTCTTTTACCTGGCAGCACTACTATTTTTAAGAGACCAGGTTGATTATATATAAATTCCGGTAGTTTTTTCTGATATAAAACAAAAAATTAATAAAAGTACTGCTCTCCATTGTTAGTTTTAATTTGCGTTATACTTCCAGCAGTGTTTGGAGACCTTCTATAATTATATTGTTTGCTTTGAGAGGGGAATTGAGTGGTGTTGATTTAGGAGATTTTGTGGTGGGTCTGAATATTTAAGTCTATAAAATTAACACAGCCACATTTTCGTAATTATAGGGATGATGGTCACATTGTTGCTTTGTGTTTTCATAATGAACTTGCTAGACACGGCTTCAGTAATTTTTGTTTAGTCGCCCTAGTGACAATGTTAGTCAATCCCGGACAATCCATATTGTATTACACACTAAGGGGGAAAGAGGGTTGTCGATTTTTTAAATTTTATGCACATGTGCGTATGGCAGAGGTGGGGGGGGGGGGGTCTCTGCAAAAAGTACATAAGTTATGCAAAAATTTTATAATATTCAGCCGGTAATTCCCAAAAATAATATGTTTTTTTTTTTAATTTTATAAAAATTTGATAAAACGGTGTTGCCCAAGTGATTTAACTTAATAAACATTTGCTTTTTTATCCCTGCCTCTTTCTCTCCCTCTGGGTTTTTTTCCTTCTTCATTTTCTTATTTCCGTTGTCGATTTTTTAAATTTTATGCACATGTGCGTATGGCAGAGGTGGGGGGGGGGGGTCTCTGCAAAAAGTACATAAGTTATGCAAAAATTTTATAATATTCAGCCGGTAATTCCCAAAAATAATATGTTTATTTTTTTAATTCTATAAAAAATATCATGTGATGTTTTGTAGGAATTATCTTCATAATGTTGCCATGTATTTTCTCAAAAGAACTCGCTAGATGTACTCGGATAATACTCAGTAGTAGAGGTACAGTAATTAGACTTTGACATATTTTATATGATCTGAGGGGAGCTTTGAAATCCATTTTTAGAATGCACAAAACAATGGTATGATTTTTAATACCCCTCTTCCTTTCAACTATTTACAGCTTGTGGTAGTTATCAGACTGTAATATGTTAACGGGAAGTAGGTATAGACTAATAGATATTGATAATTATTTTTTATATCAGCTTTTCTTTAAAAAAAAAATCTTAATTGTTAGTTGTTTTTTTTAATGAAGCCCTATTTTGTTAATTGATTCTTATTTTAATAAAAAAAAAAATTTATACTGATCTAACTTGAAACCACATTAAATGTCACTAGCAACTTTATTTTTACCAGTGACCGACTGTGCTAATGTGATCTGCGCATTCACCTAAAAATTAATTGATATCTGTAGCAGATGCCGTCTGCAAAACAAAATGGCTGCAGATAGCCATATAAACGTCAGTCATGTACATTTAGAAGTTAACATTTTTTTACGTCACCTTAACTCCATCCCACTCGATGCGAGTCGTTATGTTATTTATACTGTGTTTTTATTTATTTATTTACTATAAAGATAATTTTTGTACAATATTGCGACGATATTCTACGATTTTTAGGAATTTGAGGGTAAACAGGTCTGACATGGTGATTTAATGTTTGAGAGTCTGTTGGACAATTTTTAAAAATGTCCATGCTAATAAAAATTTCTTCGTACCTTTTGATTTAGTATGGCATAGCAGGTCTAATCAATATTAAAACGCTAATAGTTTAATTATTGAAGTGCTATTTCCATTTGTAAGATATTTTTTAAAAAGAAAATAACAAACTCTTTCTTATTTTTCGTAACAGATTGAAGAAACCAAAGCACCACATCCACCGCCCCAGCCGACAGAACCAACAACAAAGGCAACCAGCAACAATGGAGTTGCCCCAGGTAGCTCAGCCTACAACCAACAATGGGGCTATGCGCAGGGGCTCGGGGCCTCGCCGGCTCCCGCCTCTAGCAGCAGCACTATCAGTGCTGCATCCAGGCCGAGTGCCCAGGTGGCACCTTACTCCACCTCTCCGACACCGGCCTCCCTTGGCCAGCACAGTGTGATTAGTGTAGATGAAGGAACGAGTTCCAGGGGACAGCAAGGCCTGTTTTCTAGTAGGTGCCTCTTATATCCAAGGGTAATAATGGATACTGACCTACAGTAAAAAAAAAAAACGTTGTGAGCTTAACAGTGAATTAAGCCAGGTTTCCTCTTCAAGTTTGGAGTGCTAACTGTAGCAAGCTTGAAATTCACCATGTAGATTACGTTTTAAGAAAATTGATCACCCTATAATTCCATTCTATCAATGTTTATTGTTGTGAAGTTAGTTTAAAGGTGCATATGCAGAAAAACTCACTCTAATGCAGTGATCACAAAAGCAGTCTGGATCAATGTTAGGAAGGTTGCGCTAAGTTTTATGGGGGCGGCGGTTGAAAAACAGATATGTGGATAGTTGGATATTAGTTTAATTGTAAAAAATTATCCATTAACAGATCCAAGGAAATTGTTTGACACCACCAAAGAAGATGAAGTTTTTGGTGGGATCAAAAGATCACATGACCATGATGAAGACAAGTACAAAAGAAGACCAGCATTACAGTGGCTGGCTCGGTGGTTTAAGTAAGTTTGTCTTAGAAAACTAATAAAATTGCATTAAGAAATATTTTCATGCTGCTTTCTTGTATCCTATTTAAAAACACCTTGTATTTGAACTTTAAATTTTAATATGTTCGTGTTCTCCGATATTTTATCATCCTTTTAAATAAGTCTACGTGTCAGTTCAACTTTAATTGTTCACTAGCTACTTTTGTAGCCGTGATATATTTTTATATTTTGTGATGTACGGATGTTTTGCACCCATGAATTTACATGAGCATGCTATTTGAGACCCTGTCCGCACGCCTGTTCATACTTGGGGGGTGGAGGGAATAGTTTTAAGTTTATGTCTTCCCCATAAATATCTGCCTTGGTGGGCTGAAAATTTCATTGAACATGGCAGTTGGCCTTAGCTTTGGAGGGGGGGGGGGGGGCGGTGTGCAAACCTGGTCATATTTGAAATAGGATACGGTGGAATTAAAATGTTTACATAAATACTAAATAGAATAGTGGTGCAAGGTATGCGGAAGCTTGAAATATAAATACTAAATAAAATAGTGGGGCAAGGTATGTGGAAGCTTGAAATATAAATACTAAATAGAATAGTGGGGCAAGGTATGTGGAAACTTGAAATATAAATACTAAATAGAATAGTGGGCAAGGTATGTGGAAGCTTGAAATATAAATATATAAATACTAAATAGAATAGTGGGGCAAGGTATGTGGAAACTTTAAATATAAATATATAAATAGAATAGTGGGGCAAGGTATGTGAAAGCTTGAAATATAAATACTAAATAGAATAGTGGTGCAAGGTATGCGGAAGCTTGAAATATAAATACTAAATAAAATAGTGGGGCAAGGTATGTGGAAGCTTGAAATATAAATACTAAATAGAATAGTGGTGCAAGGTATGTGGAAGCTTGAAATATAAATACTAAATAAAATAGTGGGGCAAGGTATGTGGAAGCTTGAAATATAAATACTAAATAGAATAGTGGGGCAAGGTATGTGGAAACTTGAAATATAAATACTAAATAGAATAGTGGGCAAGGTATGTGGAAGCTTGAAATATAAATATATAAATACTAAATAGAATAGTGGGGCAAGGTATGTGGAAACTTGAAATATAAATATATAAATAGAATAGTGGGGCAAGGTATGTGAAAGCTTGAAATATAAATTCTAAATACAGGACAACAAAAGTAGAACCTTTGGGCTCAGGCCCTCCCTTTATATCACTGCTGACATTCTTTTTGACACTATCATTCAAAGCTCTGTGGACGGAAACAAGAGAAAAGACCCAAACGCCGTGAGGAAAAGATTTGCCGTGATTCTCCTGTTGGGCATCATTGGATTCATCACCATTGTCATCATATTCTCCAAGCTTGGACGCCAGGCCACAGAGGATGACCCATTCTTTGACCCGTTGGCCAACCCCAACATCAAAGTAGAGGCGAAGGCTGCTGGGGCATTACAATAGCATCTCATCGCCAGCCTGCGGTCAAGTCCTCGTTTAAGAACAATTTTTAGGGGGAACAATTTTCATCTTCGCTAATCGGCATTCGTATAAAAAAAAATTGTTTATTGAATGCTGTTTAGACAATGTAAATAAGAATTGTTTTGTTGGGCTGTTGTTGTTTTTGTTGGATTGTGCAAGTTGGTGGAATCCAATGACAAACATTAGCATTTTACTTGTTTCAGTTTTACTTTTTTTAAAAATTTTCTCCAGAAATAGAAATGTCATACTAAGAGAAAGCCATCTTTTTTTTTATTAGGCACAATATATCATTTTCTAGAACCTAACAAAATAAAAGAATAACTTAATATTTCAAAAGATAACAATATTTAGCATCCTTTAGTAACAATAATTTAGCATGCTGAAAAATATATGCATATAACAATGGCAATGGAAGGTACAATTCTTTGTTAAAAAATATTTTTTTTTTTTTTATGACATGACAAGTTATTTGTAAATTATTAAATATACTCTCAAATGAAAAGCTGTTGCAACTTTAAGATATAGGTGTAAAGAAATTAAATTTAAGTCCAAAAGAGTGCATTACGAACGTAGGATGAATTATTTTTAAAGGATTTTTAATTTTCACTTTAGAAGAGATAATTTTTGTGTGTGTCTCAGATACAGTTTAAAAATGTTAAAATGCAAATGTTAACAGGTCAAAAGATTATGTCTGTGTTCTGATGCTGTTGATACAATTATAACCTGCAGATTCTTTCTCATCTATTTATTTAATATTTAACTAACACTTACTTTTTATTTACCGACGCTGAAATGATTAATGCTTAAAAAAATGTTCATCACTTTTTGATGGTCATCATTTGTCCCTGTTTTTATAAAAATGGGCCGTAAGTCAACACCATTTAACTGTAGAACCTTAAGCCAACATAATTTGAATTAAGGACCTTTTTGAAACCGTAGATTAGCTCTATGTTTAAAACTGTGAATTTTGTCAGTTTTATTTTGTAAGACTTATATTCTCCAGATTAAATATTTATTATGCTGGAGGATGCTATAACAAAAATTTTCAGTATCTGATGAAATTGATATGGTGTAATATAACATTCAATATTTTTCATCTCAAGGCTACCCTTATGTAAGTATCGGCTGTTCTTTTTGCAGTGTAAAAGCTCAGTCGATCTCTGATAACTTGACTTTACAAAGGAACAAGGGTAATTTTTTTTTCTTCTTAAAAAAAAAGATTTTAAAAAATAATGGCATCTATCGTAAAGCCATGCTGAGGTAAAGATAAATTTTACTTTACAATTAGTTGAATTGCTTGTGTGAGATCTAAAAAATAAAGTGTTAAAAGAACGGATGTTGTAAATATACAGTGTACGTGAAAATTTTATATATATATATTTTTTTTTTAAATCGGGGAAAACTTTAGGCATGCAATTTCACTTTTTCAGGTTCAGTAATAAAATGAAAAGGAGACGAAGATGATGTATAAATGTAAATTCAAATTCTTGCATACAATGTCCTCTTATTTTCATAATCCTGATGGATGTTGGATTATTAAAGCAACTTTGGTGATGATTTGGGAACTGCTTTTGTTAATTTAAACAACACCGGCTGTTCAGTCAATATTAAATGTAACATATACAACTAAAATAAACTTTGTGAAACATTATTATGAATAGTTAACATATAACTTAAACGTTAATTATTTTAAAAAAATCATTGATGCACTTTATTAGTTTACTTAAAAGTGACAGACTGACTTTTGAATCATTGTCTGTTAGTGATAATATGATTCCGTGTTGGATAACCCATACTACCCTCACATAGAGAATTGTTTCCCATTAATAGTAGGTAATTTCCCTTGGACCATAATCAATTATAATTTTTTTGTTTCTTTTAAAAAGAAAAGTTCTCCCTTTCAACCACTTGACACAACACAAATAGCGCCTCATCAGCAAATCCTATTTGTTAAAGGTAGCCCTTTTAGGTGTTAGAAATATTTATTGAGAACTAGTAGGGTCATGGTCACACAGCCGATGCTCCCAAAACTGTCATGAAATTCTGTTACATTTTAATAACATCATGCAAGTTATACATAATGTTACCAATGCCTATTAAACACACAACTGTTAAGCAAATGTGCCAGTCAAATTGTGATTTGTTGTCCATGAAATTTCTTAGAAACAACGGCTTCAAATAACCTAGTGCCAAGAATTATTTTTAAGTTAGCTTTTGAGTCATGGTATCACACATTGTACTTACCTTTTGTGGTACGAATTACCTTCTTTGGTACGACTGACCTCCTGTGGTATGACTGACCTCCTGTGGTTGGTACGAAATGAAGATTGATTTGGGTAATTAAACATTTAACACATACCATATCTGGAAATTTGTTTAAAAGAAATTTCATAGACAGAAAATTGATAGACCGAAGTTTGATTTAGCTGAAGTTTGGTCGAAATTTTTTTTTCGGTTCCCACAATCTAATTTTGCATCAAATTTTGAACGCATTATTCTGTTTTACTATGTAGTATAATTCTGTCAAAAAAAATTTGACGAAAATTTGATCGCACGTACTGAAAAAAAAATTGGACCAACCTTCCGTTCGATCATATTTACGATAGATCAAACTTTCGCCTATCAATTTTCCATCAACGAAATTACTTTCAAACGAATTTCTGGTAACAAACACATACAGGGGGGGGGGGGGGGCAAACAACGCACGCTTTTTTTTAATATACCATTACGGAAAAAAAAATTTGTTTTTGTCAAAAAGATTTGACATGTGGAGAGTACGGCTACACCATATTTTTTTTAAGGTAAAGTAAGGATTTATGGATTGGGCAATAGTAGTGAGATTGCAGCTCTAGCAGCGGGATTACTTAGATATATAAGTATTTTACTTAAAGGGGGGTGTTGGTGTCATTGCGTTTGTAGAGCACCAACTACATTGCGTTTGTAGAGCACCAACTACATTGCGTTTGTAGAGCACCAACTACATTGCGTTTGTAGAGCACCAACTACATTGCGTTTGTAGAGCACCAACTACATTGCGTTTGTAGAGCACCAACTACATTGCGTTTGTAGAGCACCAACTACATTGCGTTTGTAGAGCACCAACTACATTGCGTTTGTAGAGCACCAACTACATTGCGTTTGTAGAGCACCAACTACATTGCGTTTGTAGAGCACCAACTACATTGCGTTTGTAGAGCACCAACTACATTGCGTTTGTAGAGCACCAACTACATTGCGTTTGTAGAGCACCAACTACATTGCGTTTGTAGAGCACCAACTACATTGCGTTTGTAGAGCACCAACTACATTGCGTTTGTAGAGCACCAACTACATTGCGTTTGTAGAGCACCAACTACATTGCGTTTGTAGAGCACCAACTACATTGCGTTAGGAAGCTGCCGAGTCACAGAACGTGTATAAAGTATACAGTTACTTTTCGTACTCCATCAAAAGTTCACATGTGTGCAACTGGCTTAAGATAATATACGAGAGACTGCTTCAAGCTGCCTGATGCTAATTTCTCAGCTAACGTTTGAACAACTTCAATCAAAACTCAAAACGCTTTGAGTCAAACACGAGGTTTGATGACGCGATGACTGATGTAAAGAGGAAGATAATGGCAGCAGAGTCACTTTTTAGGTTAGAACAACCACTGCCTTATAATCTAGCCCACCCATGCCAACCCAGTGGCATAGGAAAGGGGTTGTAAAAAAAAAAAGGGGGGGGGGATAAGCTCAAGGTCGGACTTTTTCTCTTTATATAGAGGGGCGGAATTTTTAGCTGAATCGGAAAAAATCTTGGGCTCTTCCGGTCGGCACTAACACTGGGCTCACCACTGACAGAACCAGCCTTGAAAATTACAGACACATCCTAAGAGTCATGAGGCAATCTCAATCTTAAAATGTGGTGAATATTACTTGCAGCTGTTTTTGATCAGTGGCAGACCCTTTGAGGTTAATCACCTTGAGTTCTCTTTGAAAGAACAGTGACCTTGAGTTCTCTTTGAAGGAACAGTGACCTTGAGTTATCTTTGAAGGAACAGTGACCTTGAGTTCTCTTTGAAAGGACAGTGACCTTGAGTTCTCTTTGAAAGGACAGTGACCTTGAGTTCTCTTTGAAAGGACAGTGATCTTGATGTCTCTTTGAAAGAACAGTGACCTTGATTTCTCTTTGAAGGAACAGTGACCTTGAGTTCTCTTTGAAACGACAGCGAACTTGAGTTATCTTTGAAAGGACAGTGACTCTCTTTGAAAGAAAAGTGACCTTGAGTTCTCTTTGAAAGAACAGTGACCTTGAGGTCTCTTTGAAAGAACAGTGACCTTGAGTTCTCTTTGAAAGGACAGTGACCTTGAGTTCTCTTTGAAAGAACATTGACCTTGAGTTCTCTTTGAAAGAACAGTGACCATAAGTTCTCTTTGAAAGAACGGTGACCTTGAGTTCTTTTTGAAAGAACAGTGACCTTGAGATCTCTTTGAAATAACAGTGACCTTGAGATCTCTTTGAAAGAACAGTGACCTTGAGATCTCTTTGAAAGAACAGTGACCTTGAGTTCTTTTTAAAAGAACAGTGACATTAAGTCTCTGAAAGAACAGTCAATTCCTTTACTCCCAAGCCTCTCTCCTATTGTTTAAAATCTATCAGGTGAGTATGTTGTAACAGCTTGGATTACATCACCAGATTCGTTGACCAACCTGCACTGTGTGCATGCACTAAGAGTCAACATGTCTATTTATAGATTGTCCCATGAAGCATCGCCCTGACCTCACACCACTTCACATACACATAACACACCCACACTGAACTATTTGAAAAGTCATCATTATTGTGTTGATATATTTTGTTTGGTTATGGCATGTCTATCAAGCAAGTATAGGCGCACACTTGCCACAGTTCTGACCAATATGTCATTGTGGCATTGTACTACACACATGGGTTAGCTATCATAGATGCAATCTGTTCATTGCCCCCCCCCCCCAAACCAAACCAAATTCGCAGAATGTTCTAGAATTATGTTTATAAAAGAGACTCATTACATGCTTGATACCAGAAATATTAAAAATTTTAAATAACACTTGAGCTTTTCTATCAACCAAGTATAGGCGCACACTTGCCCCAGTTCTGAGCAATATGTCATTGTGGCATTGTACTACACAAATGGGTTAGCTATCATAGATTCAATTTGTTCATTGCCCCCCCCCCCCCAAACCAAACCAAATTCGCAGAATGTTCTAGAATTATGTTTATAAAAGAGACTCATTACATGCTTGATACCAGAAATATTAAAAATTTTAAATAACACTTGAGCTTCCCAGCAACCTTTAACAATAATTTATTGTTCATTGATTTGGTCTTACCAGAAATACATTCTTGATGTTGTTTGTTCTTCAGTTTGCTTTGTGCATTTATATGGTCGACATTCAAGCTGGTGATGTGTCGTGTCGATGTTGTTAGATGTTGCTAGTGAGATGTTGTTAGATGTTAGTGAGATGTTGTTAGATGTTGCTAGTGAGATGTTGTTAGATGTTAGAGGTGAGATGTTGTTAGATGCTAGTGAGATGTTGTTAGATGTTGCTAGTGAGATGTTGTTAGATGTTGCTAGTGAGATGTTGTTAGATGTTAGTGAGATGTTGTTAGATGTTGCTAGTGAGATGTTGTTAGATGTTAGTGAGATGTTGTTAGATGTTGCTAGTGAGATGTTGTTAGATGTTAGTGAGATGTTGTTAGATGTTGCTAGTGAGATGTTGTTAGATGTTAGTGAGATGTTGTTAGATGTTGCTAGTGAGATGTTGTTAGATGTTAGTGAGATG